CCGCCGGCGTACCGGGCGCTGCTGCTGTCGCTTTCGTCACGATCGCGGCCGAGTAAAGAGCCTGGAGAGGCTCCTGAGTATAGACATGGTCAGGCGCGAATGTGGGCTGACTTACGCTGCCGGCTATAAACAGAAGTCTCCCTGGAGCGTGGCAGGGCTGCAGGACGCTCGCGCGTCCATCCGTCTGTCCGTCCGTCCGCCCGTCCACCCTCAGCACAGCCCTCGACAGCGCGAGCCCGTCGCGCTCCTGGCCTGCTCGCTGCAGGGACGCGTGCCGGTCGTGCCGGTCGGGCTGGAGGTGAGGAGCGTGAAGAGCGTGCGAGCTCGGCTCTGCCCCATCCCTCGCTTTCAATTCCTTTTTCCGTAACAGCGATGTTGGGGTACTTTCGGAATTCAAATGTTTAACAGGAAAATAAGGATTAATAAATGCTGCAGTAAAAACTTAATGCACTGAGTAACAGATGTGTTGAAATCTCATTTATTTTGCATGCTGTTCTGGCCTGTTTTCTGTGTCTTCACCCATAGCCGCTGGAGATAAAGCCCTGTACTTCTATTAAACTGCTTAATTAAGGCAGTACAGAACAAATAGTGTTTAAACTAGGCAATGGCTGGACCGCATGATGCAGGCATTGCTGGTGGGCAGTTTTTCTGTTGGGGATGAGCGATCAGCACCAGGAGCTGGGATACAGTGCTTTTATAGGGTTTTTAAATTGTTTGTCACACCCTAAAGGCACGAGCCAGGACACTGATTTCCACGACATCCAGTAGCAGCTAGTGAGATAAACTGTCGCAGTAGAAACCTTGTCTAGCAGTAAGGTCACCCGTTTCAGTCGGGAACGCAGGACTAAGCCTGCTTCACTCAGTGATCCAAATCAGCGTTGACTTGGTGTGTGAAGGTTTGCAAAGTTCTTCATGTTAGCAAATACAGATTTAAAAACAAAGCTTTAGCTAGGATCAGCAGAGCTTTGCTTTGGACTGAACAGTAACTACTGCAGTTTTCAGTCTGAAAAGAGTCAATGGAAAGGGTTCCTTAAACTAAAAAGAGGAGACTACCAGCTGCATAACCGGAGGTGGCCAGAAATACCTAAATACGCTTCATCGTAGTGCACATCCTTTACAGACGCCAAATGGGCAGCGGCGATGCCTGTTCCAGCACCTCGCACTTTATAATGTTGCTCCCCACATCCAGTAAAGCCGTATTTGGTCTCTGATTTTCTGTACAGAACGCCATAGGAACCAAGACCCTCCCCCAAGATTAAAATCTGGTGCTAAAACCAGGTAGGTGCGCGTTATTTGGAGGACCACGGGTGGCTGCAGGCAGCATAGGCTGGCGTGTGCGTGGGCAGGGGGGTGTCCGTGCGCGTCCCGCCGAAGCAGGGGTGGGGCGGGGCCGCCAGCAGCTTGGTCCTGCTCCAGTGGGTTGTCCGGGGAGCGATTCCCGCTTCCCCTAAGGCTGCCTCTCATTAGCATGAACCGGGGGAAGGGCATAAAAGACTCCGGTTCATTTTGAGCCTGGAAAAGCTTTACTTCAAAATGACAACCAAAGTGTTCTGGCTCCTCTGCTTTGTCGTGAGGTCACCTTCCAGCCCAGGGGCCGGTAAGTCTGTTCGCATTCGAAGCGGGGCTGGGGCATATTTGCCTTTGGTGTCAGGGGAGGCTGCACGCGTTGCAACAGATTCTTGCCCGAGCAGCCCTCTTCAGCTGCAGCCTTTTCAGCAAGTGGCAGCAGCAACCGCATAAGGGCTCAGGAAAGAAACATTTCAACATGTTTGTGGGATGGGAATGTGAACTGCAATATTTGGTTTGTCAGCATTTGAAAGGATTAAGCGCACCTGCCAAAAGCAGGCGGTTAGCTGGTGCCATGAAGCCCGCGAGCCATCGCACGGCAACTGAAGTTTGACTTACATATAGAATTTTTTTATTTGTACATGGTCTCTCCCTTTTAGCCTCCTTCCCCTCACCTGTAAACTCCAGATTTCTAATTTATTTCAAAATGCTCTGTGCTGTCATGCGTGCCTGCAGCAAGCTGTCCTAAACAGATTTTTTTTTTAGTACCTTGTTGATGGAACAGAAATAAGATATACATCTATTGCATTGGGAAGGAGCTGGTTATGTTGCAGCTGCATTTCTTAGATTGCAAGAGCAAGACAGAAATACGCTGGTGTAGGAGGATGAACCTCAAGGTCCTGAACAGATTGAGTAGT